GTGCGTGCACACACACACACACGCATGCACACACACGCATGCACACACACATACACACAAACTACACAGAAAAAGAAACCTACGCTGATCATGCCACTTTGCTCAGTTTGAATTTAAAATTTCAATGGAGTGCCCTTCTGAGAGTCCTATATAAAGGGGGTCGTCAGGACTTCTCGAGGGCAGCTGCAAAGGTTATGTTACTCATGCTATGTTACTTATCCTGCCCTTCACTCTGCTTTCCACTCTGCTTTTCTTACAGAACTGAGTATGGCAACATAACCATCAGTTAAAGCATGCACAACAGGGGTGCCTTCACAATAACGATATTATGAACTAATTTAGTGCACGAACTAGCGTGCAACGTCTGTTATTTGCCCAGTTTTTGTACACACAGATTGCAGTGTACTCTGTGAAAAACAAGCTGCATTTATGATTGAGCAGAGATCTGCAAGGAGGCACTCACTTGCTGTCAACAGGTCGAGCTTCGTTCCCTGCAATCAGTTAACAAAGAAAAGTGCATTAATAATTAAATTATCTTATAGATTTACTTTGTACTTCGAGAGAAAAATTGTAAACATAATGATGATGATAATGTTTGTAGTCCCCTTTGTTTCGGGTGGGCACCTTGTGGTGTCCTGACCGGAACGATAAAATAAATGAAATATCACGAAAACTGCACATCACAAGGTTATAATAGGTTCATGAACATTAGAACTGTTCACTGTCCCCCGGACCACCACAAAAAAAGCCTTGCTTTTGTTATTGATGTTGCTGCCAGGGGGTGCACATTGGTGTTTTGGCTGCCGCTTTCGATCCGGTGTGTCGCAGCCATCCACGAAGCCAGGCGCCTCAGGTAGTGTGACGGCCTCTGGTTGATGAGGTGACAGATGTTTGCACTGGAGAACAATGTCCTCAATGGTTTCATCGTCCTCCCCGTGTGCCCTGCACTGCACAGTACTGTCAGCCAATGACGGGTCAAAGTGACATCGATACACTTTAGTTTGGAGAGCTCCAGCATGGGCCTCAAACAGCAGGGTGCTGCCGACACTGTTGTCATATAGACGCTTGGCTGAGATGTTCATTTTGTGCACTTTGTAGAAGGCCAGGCTTGGTTTTTTTTTCCATAGCCACCTGCCACATCGACGTCTCCGTTTCCTGTACATGCTGACCATTTCTTCTCACTGTCCCTCCCGGATGGGGTCAGTAAAAAGAGCGAACTTTCTACACAGGTTATAAAGATGCCTGCTTCATTGTGTACTGATGCCTTTTATAGTAGTATACCTAAATACACTCCGGGCCCATCGTTCATTGTTCATGAGGCTAAGACGGCCTTCGTAGGCGGCCTTGCTCCTGGCCTCCCGTGCCTAATGACTTGAGCATCCGAGGTCACCCTGGACCACATAAACAGCTATGCGTCCGTGACACGCCAGCACCAGTCACCCAACCTCACGCTGACCTCTCTCCAACCACTGGCTGTGTTGCGGCGGACAGGCAGATGACGGCGTTGGGCGAATGTCAGCACTGGCAAATGTACTGCTTTCCACAGTTCGCACACCAGAACAAACATGTTGGCAGCTCTCACAGATGCTTGACGAACATGCTCCTCCTGTTTGTCAAAAAGATCTGCGGAGGTTTACACCGAGGTACCGGTATTCATCTAATACCGGAATTTTTCCACTGTCGGGAAGCTGCACCTTATGATCTCTTCAACGCCCAAAAACTTCAATAAGGCCAATTTTTCGGCATTGAAGTGTAGGCCCAGCCGCTTCAGGTGTTCGGCTGCCAGAGTCACCAGACTTGGAAGATCACTGCTGCACTCTGCCAGTAGTACAAGATCATCTGTGAACACCAAGCCGGGCAGCGTCCATGTCTCCGATACCCCATCAATCATGAGTCGGTACGCGAAGCCAACTCCCGATTCCACGAGTGCCTCCTTGAGTCTTGCCACATACAGCACGTACAGCAGCGGAGACAAAGGGCAAGCCCTGGCTGAGTCCTCTTGTCACCTTCACAGGCTGCGTTCTGGTGTCCCTGAAACATGCCACCACCAAGCTATCTGCATAGAGCCACCGGAGGAACCCTGTCCAGATGCTCGGCATTTGTCGTTTTTTAACTGGCGAAAAAAACTCTGCATGTGGCACACTATCGTAAACCTTGGCTACATTCAGAAAGCAGCCGAGCAGGCCTCTCGTTTCTCTCTGTGCTACCTGGATGGTCTGGGTGAGCACGAAAAGGTTGTCCTCCAATCGCCGGTTTCGTCAGAAGCCATTCTGGAGTTCAGACATTATGCCATTTTGCTTCGCCCAGCCACTCATTCAGACTTTCAAGACCTGAGCGAAGAGTCTAAAGAGGACACTCGTCACCCTGATTGGTCTATAGTCAGCCAGCTGGTCTATAGTCCAGCGTCGCCTCCTCTCTTGCACACCAGGCTTACTCGGCCACATTTCAGTCAGATGGGATTGGGCCGTCCTTCAGAATGGTAGTGAAGATTTCCGCGAGGTGTTCAAGAGCAGACTTCCCCCGGCATTTCACGAGGCCCGCCGGTATACCGTCTATTCCGGTAGCAGTGCTTGCACTGATACGGAGGAGAGCACGCTCAATAACGATCTCGTCACTTTTCCAACGGTCCGTGTTCACTTGGTTAATGTGGCTCGTCGTTGGGGTTGCAGCTTACAGCTTGCGATCGGTTCGTCATGTGTGGGACTGAAGAGCTCTTCCATGTGGTTCGTGAGGTGTGCCGCGAGATCAATGACCCGCTGGTTTGCTAGAGTGATGTCGAATTTCAGGTGCCGAGGTACTACGATCTAATGAGGACACATATTTCCAAAATTTGTTAGCGCCATTACGCCCTGCCTCTGTAATAGCTCGCAATTGTTCACTGTTGTGCTGAGCTATTTTACTTTGTACGAGGACCCACATATCTTTCTTGAGGCGGAGGCATTCCTCCCAGGTATGCATGCACTCCTCTCCAGGGGATGTTCTAGCAGCCACTCTGTGTATACGATTCGCCGTTCGTCTTGTAGAAAGGGCCCTATGTACCTCTTCGTCCACCCAACCTTTGCGCCGCAAGCCACAACGAAAATTCATGCGAACTTTGGCCTCCTCATGATGCGTTTCAGTTCTAGCGCAAACTGATCGTAGGTTGGCGATTCCATCGGTTGAGAGTTCTCTTCGAATGCCTTGACAACTGAAGTATACGCTGACTGTGGGAGGCACTTCACAGCCGGGTTGCGAAGTCGCTTCTCAGTGGATCACCACGAGGATCTAGAAAAGGACAACTTTATTTGGTTGTCGTCACTTCCTAGGCTGAATTGACCATTCTCATCTCTGTTCATGTGAGTGAGACGTCGTGCTAGAACAGACGTCAGCAAGCGCGTAGTCAATACAGCTGCGACTGTTCCTGGTGCACCAGGTGTGCTGGCCTTCACACTCTGGACAAAGATTCAGTACATCCAAGGTAAGCGAATGCGCCAGTGTCAGCAGTAGTTCCCCATTCGCATCTTGGAAACCATCCAGCTTGCAGGTGGCCATTGAAATCGCCCACTATGAGGACCTCTCACTGAGTACATAGAGCTGAGTACAAAGGCAACCCTGTGTCCACCAAGGACAATGCCACGTTACTTATGTACCGAGTGTAATGCATTTGAAAGGCAATTAATATACACAAGACTGTTTTTCACGAGTCGCTCTGTAATAGAAGGCTCTGTAATTAATAAATAATTAATGACACAAAAGAATAAATTAAGGTGACCTGAATATTCGCGGTACACTGTGACAAACTTTTCGATGTCAAGTAACACTAAAGCATAAAACGAGACTTGAATGGGTTGTGGCGTGGAACATCACCAATCAACTGCACAAATTTATATAGTGGGATCGGATAATCTCCCAGGCCGCATCTAACTGCGAAGATCTCGAAATTGTGATCTTACGTCGGTGTCGCAGACACACACTTTCGATCACGATTGGGTGCGATCCCAATGAAATTCACTGATCGTTATTTCTCACTTTACGCGAGCTAGAGCAGGAATCCAATTGAGGAGAAACTTGATCCCGATCGGGTTCAATCACGATCAGAAGTGCACCGTGTGATATGTCATAAAACGCCGACCAGTGTGCGGAACAGTAGTTCCGATCAATTTCACCATTCCGAGTCTAGTCGAAATTTCAAACAATTTTGAAATAACGACACGCTGTTTACACTCAGTATTGAAGACTGCGCCGGCAAAAGGCCCGACGACAGTATAAACGCCACACGCCGTCTTCAGCAATCAAGCCATGTTACGTGTTACGCTACCAGTTCACGCTACAGGTTCGACCAGGTGAGTCGTGGGCACTTTTGCTATACTTCGTCAACAATGTCTACTCACGCCGTAGGTGTGAAAGCATCTGCCGATAGAGGTGATGACGAGATGCTCTTTGCGCCTGTTGATGTACCGCAGAACGAAAGGCACATGGTTGCACACGTATCCCAGGGCTCGGTATCCTTGGAATATTCGGCTCGGAACGGTGTCGGCCTTCATTGTTTTAAGAGGAGTCTGGTTCGCACGCTTTTCTCACAAACGTCACGTCCGCACATGCATACACAGCTACCACAACACTTGATCGCTCTCCGCGCAAAACACATGGCACAATGGCAACAGATTGTCTTGATTTGGATTCGTTCGTTACTTACGCTTTGCTGCATTGCTTCAACAAACAAATAAAAGTTCTAAATTAGTTAACTAAAAGCACATATTATATTTATAAAATAAACAAGTTTGATAAAAAATCAGTATATTTTTATTAAGCGTTGACATAAAAAAGCATTACATCAACAAAAAAATCGACATCCTAAATAACACAAAAGCGTAAAACCTGAGTAAACATTTTAAAATACGCTTATTGGTTTGGTTTTTCAAATTTTTGTCACAAGAGTTTGATTCAAGTGATTTTGAGTTTCTACGCACTCAGCGGCGTGGCCCCAACCGTAAGGCCTACGTTTCATACGGGCATTTTGCGTGCTTGCAGTGAAGACCAACCTCGACCCGAGCCGACAAACGGGAGTGCGTGAAAAAAAAAATAAAAAATTCGGTTCAAGTTGCCGAGAAGCAAGCGTGAGAGGAGGCCTACTACCTAAAGGACAACAACAAAACAACCACCAAACTCCGGATCCATCCCTTCCAGAACCGGTGAGTCTCCGGCGAAACCGGTCCGGTGACTTTCGCTCGCACCCTTTCGCGCAAAGCGAAAGTTTTCGGCGGGCGCTGTCGCGACGCCGACGATTGGCTGTCAGCCAACGTGTCAGCGACGGTTAACGGTTCTCGTCGCGACTGACCGCTCGCGACGCGTTTCTGATTCGCGCGTGTGAACAGTCTAACGGGCCTGAGATGTCGCAATTGCGACCTAGGGAGCGCAGCTCCAAGTGTCGTGCGGCTGGTTACTTTTATTTATTTAATTTTGTACGACACGATGCGCCGCGATCACACAGCGAAGCTCGTCGTGGGCGTTCCAGCGTCAATCTGGTTCAAACTGATGCCTCACTTAAAAGACGAACGTAGAAACTAAGATGAGAGAAGAAAAAAAAAAAAAACGTAGTGCACCTGTGATCGGAAGTAACGGATACCTTCGTGACGAAACACCGTGCCTCAGCCGATTCTTTCGTGTTGTCACGCACGCTACACATCCGTCGATGCGTGCGGATGTCCCAATTGCTACCACACTTTTGAAGCGGTCACGCACGCAAATTTTACGCACACCATGCGCGATCTTTGAACAGGTGAACCCTCCGAAGCGTTTTCGTTTCGGTACGCTAAGGCACGGCCGTTTTAGTCCTAAACCGCTGACACCTGTGTTCTCCGCGGCGCATGTTCCGTCACTGCAAGTGGAGCTCGCATCCGCAGTTCTCGCATTATCGTTGTTATAAACAACAATTTTGTAGAACGTTTTTTTTTTTCTTCGCGAGTCAAGCGTTAAAAAGGTCCGTACTTTCGCTTCTGTTAGACGCGCGTATAGTGACATGTTCGTGCCGAAAAGATTGGTGGTAGCATGTCATCAATTTGCGACTGCGCGCAGATGTGTCCGAAGGACAAATCGAACGCTTCGGTGATGCCACCGTGTGCTGAATATGCACCCGCAGCTTCGTCTCGGCAGCTTCGGTGTGCACCCGCGTGAACACCTGTGACACCGTGGTGGAAGGGTTGATACCCTTTTCTTTTGAATTTCACCCGGTTGATTCCTGTAATATTTGGAGCACAATGTTGGTGTTGTTGTGAGTGCACTTGTTGCAGACGCAGATGTTACAGGAGTCGTGATTGGAGGGGCACCTCTTAGCAGTGTCCTCCCTTTTTGTCCTTTACGTATTGCGGTTTTATGTTTTTTTACATGCCCGGAAATCACGCACTTATTGGTTCATTGATGACTGGGGTGCCCAATGTCATACGTACACGTGTTGAACCACGAGGCGTGAAGTAGTTCAACGTTAGCAGTACTTCGCGCGAAGGTGTAAGAAAACGAAATCGTAATGTGACCCTAATGCTCAGCTGCAGTACTTCACACTATGAACTCGTCAGCCGGCAACGCGTCGCAGCTGATTTAGCAGGCATTCGACATTTAGTTGCCGCGAACAATGCGGGCATTCCTTCGCAAGCTTGCATGACGCACGCTCCATGGGTGTACTAGACACAGATAAATGGGGCAGCCTTTTATAGCTGCATCGCACTGCGCTTGTGCCCCAATTTCCTTGCACACGGGTGGCGCACGCTCCATCACTTGCCTGCCATCCGTTCAGCTTGACTTGCGTTTAATCATCGGTGCCATTGTCTTGTCTATACTGTCGCGCCATTGTTATTACTCGTGAACGAAACCCCGACCAATAAAAAAAAAATAGAGCTACTGCAGCAATTCATTTATGGCGCTTTATATGAGGAAACTTATCATTATTCTATGGTGGGATACAACCTTCAGAAACAAACAAACAAAAAAAAAACCATGTTAGCTCTGTGAGCAGCCATCGCTGTTCCTTCAGCAGATGGTTTGGATAAATGCTCCATTCAACAGCGCTTACTCATTGTCGTGACGTCAAGCAGTTCTCGCGGGTTGGAGATAGTTTGCTTTTCCACGCAGACACGTGTTGGTGTCGCTGGTTTTAACTTGAACGTTCTGGTGAATTTCGTCGGGAATTAATCAAACCTCTAATATTTAGGTAATAACGACGAGCCCGTAATTCGGAACAGGCGTAGTATATTTGCTGATGGCGAGAAAAAGTAATTAAACGGTCCAAGCGGATGCCACGACTGCGTTTCGCAGGTGAAGACAGACGCGCCGTTGGTCGGTGGCGCTTAGCTTTGTTATATCGGCTGTAACCGAGTGTAAAGTTTTACCATCGAAGCAAGGCGCTTAAAAATAAGATAAAAAAGAAGTGGTCGGGAATGTTGTGTCGATGTTTGTTTATAAGGACCTGACCTTTCTTGTTGAATTCCTTGCTATTTGGCTGTTAGCTCGAGGAGCTCCCGCGGCATTTTTTTTTTCTGTATCTGGAGTTGTCAATGCATAAACGATTGTGCTAGAAGCTGCACAGGTGGAAGGGTTATGTTAACGATGTGCTGCCCAAAAGTAACGTCACGCTGTGACCGTAACTGCTGCTACTTCTGGTACTGGCGTGCGCGGCACTGTAGTATTACTGGCCATTCCCAAGCGCAGTTACTTGTTCCGTGGGACTACAAAGCTAGTGTTTAAGAGTGTTGAAAGGGTTTTGATGCTATAAAAAGCATGCTGTAGGCTTCCTCTGTACGCAGCGAGACATTCAGCACAAAACGTTGGACACAGCAAGTGTTTAAGATATATTTTCATTCGCTTCCGAAGTCTGACTTCTGTCTGAATGCTCATTCTCGCGATCGAGATCCATCGCTAGCGTGACTGACGCCGACGTCACTATGTAGGAAGAGTAGGGCAAAGTTTTGATGATGTCAGACCATATTAGAGTGACGTGCCACGAGCGGCGAGTATAATTCCTTCCTCCATGGGTGAGCCAAAGCTGCAACAACTCCGTCGCACCACACTCGTCTTCCCATGAACTTGTAGCCGAAGTTGCTCGCATTTTGTAAAGAGCTCCGCATTGTCACGCGAAGCTGCCAAGGCGAGATAAAAAAAGTTTAGTTGGTTCGCATACCTCTTAGCTTTAGCACACACTGAGTTGCCGTAGCCATACACATGAGAGGCTATAGGCAGTTGTGACCACCTGGTGGCGCTTAAATCAGGCAAGCATAAGAATTCCTTTCGTGGAAACCCAATGTAGTCTATACTATATACTTCGCCTTTGTAAATTTTCGGGCAGCGTGCTTGTTCCGAATGCGTTGTTTTTGAAACAATCATTAGCCATGGTCATTCAGCGAAAAAAAAATAATAATAAATGCACCTGTAATTGTCGTTGCATGAAGCACCACAAGATGTCGGTACCATCGTCAAGTAAGCCGGTACTCCAGAAATATCGCCTCGAATACGGGAATGCCGTATGCTAACATTCTTTATCAGGAACTGCTAGCGAGTATCGAAGGCATCGGGACGTTTTCAAGCAACCTGCGCAATGACGTCACAGCCCCACTCGGTGCCCATGAAACGAAAGTAGCTGGTATAAATGAGGCGATAGTGAATTATTTAGCGACACTAAATGAATGTTAATTGGAGCAGTGGCGGATCCAGAGGGGAGTGGGTAGTGAGGCGTTTGCCCCCTCCCCCTCTGAAGCCTTCGTCAGCACCCCCAGCCCCCCTCTTCAGGGCCTGTCGACCACCTCTATCAGCGATTAAAAAAAATGAGTTTGACAAATTAACAGTATTTACGCCGTAGTGGGGTTCTTGTGACAGTAGCAACTACAAAAAAAAAAAGTGGTACCCCCCTTTCTCCAGTTTTACTTCAAGCGTCCGTTCCCTCCTAGAAGGAGTGGCCAGACCCGCGCCTGTTTTGGAGCGTGTATCATGCTTCCTGGAGCTATAAAAAACATGCAGGTTTTTTTTTTGTTTTCGCTATAAAGAACACGCAAGTCACAAACCTAATGGCACCACACCTTTATATAGGCTCCTTCCAGCGAGGGTGCTATCCCACACACACATAGAACAAGGTTCACATGGTAAAATCGTAGCGTGTTGTACAGACACGCTGATGGCATGGTGCCTCCTACCTTCTTCATTTTTTTTTAATTGTTTACCGGGGTGGGTGCTTGTGCCACGAGTGCATGGTGTTCTTTAAGAGTCCTATTTGTACAGGGCTGTCGATGTCAGCACGCGGCGATTAGACAGGACTGGAAAATCGCAAATCATGCAAATGGTGTGCGTATTTTTAAAGTAGTTATGAATAAACCGATTCATTGCTTTTTACGCGATCGTCCACTCTAATGCAAATTAACTTACGAAGTACCTCAAAAGTTTCCAGCATAGGTTAAAGCAATTGACAAGGGTGACAGTATATACTTAGTACTTCTCGCACGGCAGAAGACTGGAGTGCACGAGCAAAAACATGGAGCAGATATTCGCAATTTTTTTTTAGTTTCCTGAAAGTGCACGGTTAGTTTGCAAAAACGAGTCTTATCGACATCACGCACAAATTACCGCAACGCATTAACGGTGCATGACAACACAAGTAATAATTTGTTTAGGCTAACTCACGGAACAAAAGAGCTTTAAGTATTTATCGCAGCGGCACGATTCGCGCGCTAGAGCACGTATTTGGCAAAGACCTCGCCAGAATGCATAAAGACCTTCACATGATCTTTTCATCCTGTGTTCTTTCATCACATTTACATTACAATTACTTCTAATCACATATGTACATTCCTTGGAATCATTGTCTGTCAATTCGCATTAACAATAGTTTACAAAGTTGTCATCGGACTGCGGACGCGGTGTCAGCAGTTTAGCTATAATTGTCGAACTTGCGCGAGCATCAGCGATAACGATGCAATTTACGTTGTCACGCGCGCGTCCGCGGTACCAATTCACGACGCGGCACGAACATGGCCTCCCAGATCCGCAGACGCGCTGTTAATCAAATCAGCCAATACATGTCGTGCTTGGGCCTGCTGCGCATTTGCGGACGACATTACGAAACACGCACACACAGACACACACACACGCGCGCATTTTGTGTGTTTTTTGGGGGACAAAGTTGTAAAATTCCATGCTGCGCGTATGGTGCAAC